TATAAGCATTCTGCTCGCCTTGTTCACCCATCTTTTTTTTCCAATAGTATTTTTAGTCCTATAGTGCTTGTAATTTTTATGTTTTTATGCTTATTTATCTATGCTTAGATTTAAATGTTCTGCGCTTCAGAGTAATTTTATATTAGGCTATCTAAATTTAATTCCTTGGTTCTCAGGCCAATTTTCTCCAAAACAAATGCGGGAGGGCGGCATTTTATTTTTAATTTTATTGGCAATAAAGTAGATGAGGGAGGTATTTTTTTAAATTTTAATTTCCGAATTTTCTTTAACATAAAGATAATTTTTTTAATCACAGATATACTTTCCATTTCTGGTCAAATTCTCTGCTTTATCCATTGCTTAACAGGGTGTAAACATAGTAGGTAATGTCCTTGAATGTATTTTCAAACGAAGTAGCCAAAATCTCATTGTAAATGGCTACCGGAAGTGATATTTGAATACTAAACTACGAAACAAATGAGGGCGGAATTTTTTTTTCCCAGATTGGTCTCCGCAATACCCACTTTTTATTTTTTCAAAAATACAATAAAATCGGCAATGCGGCTACCTCAAAACAGATGCGCGCGAGCCTGAGAACCAAGATTTCAATTTTATATAGCCTTATATTTAGCGCTTTATAAATTGTGCATAATAATAATGATAATAAATATCTTCTTTTTTTCTGAGTGTATTCTGACAATATGGCAGCTCAAACTGATGATCTCAAATCTACATTCTAGTGATCATTATACAGCTTCTTTTTGAAAGACATACATTATCATTTAATTAAATTGTTGACTGTTTTCTGTGTTATGAGTTATTCCCCTTTTCTCTCCAGGATCCACATTGACTTACAGAGGAGACGGTGTTACCAAGGAAACAGCACCACCACAGCCAGTCAAAGAAGTAAGAGCTCCTATAGATAAATATTTGGATACATTTTTTTTTACCATCTTATTGTTCATAATTAATTATACCTTAACATCTAGATATGTCCAGGTAATGGTATGATTGTAATGCAGGCTTTATAATTGTATTTTAGACTTCTTCTTTTTGGAGGACAAAGCCTTTAATTAGTTACTTCCTGACAGAGTTCCCTGACGCCAAAAGTAGGAAGTTATTTGCCTCAGCTCAGCTGGACATTTGGGCTGTAGAAGGTGGGTCGGTTTGGAAGTACACACATCAGTAAAAACATTGGTTTATGATTTAATTAGAAGCTAAAGAACCAAAGTAATTGATGTGTATTGCTATGAGTGATGCAGTCTGTTGTCTATTGACTTAGTGGATACCAAAGACATCGATGTCAAAATTCTGTAAGCTTAGACTTGTAAGAACTGAAATTCATCTACAGTCAAATCTTGTAATCTTAAACTCAATTGGACTGAGAAAAACTGAGAGACGTTTGAAAATTTTAGATTGAGGGTAAACTTTATACTTTAAATTTTTAAAAGTTGTTAAAAGACTCTCAAATTTCTTCAGTATTTTTATTCTATTTGTGATATAATAGTTAAAATACCAAAGTTTATCTGTGTTCATTTGTCTGTGCTATCAAAAACATCTACACATTGGTTCAGTATATTTACAAAACACTTAATAACCATAAAATGTTATTCATTGTACATGTAATTATAAGATACATTCTCAAATTGTGTATAGCAGAAATTCGTTAAATCATTTCAATGATAGACAGTGTATAAAAACCTTGTTTACAGTAGATTGTTGTTTACAGCATTATGTCATCTTGTAGCAGTAGATTATTTGAGTGTCTTAGCTACCAATGCTGTGAAAGCTACATAAATGTACATGTATGTTTTCTGTATTTGCAGCATTATGTCATCTTGTAGCAGTAGATTATTTGAGTGTCTTAGCTACCAATGCTGTGAAAGCTACATAAATGTAGTATCTTTTCTGTATTTGCAGCATTATGTCATCTTGTAGCAGCATCATATACAGAGGATAAATTCGGGGTGGTTCAAAAGTCACTACCCCAGATTCTTACTGCAGTAATAAATCTTCAAGAGGTAAACATTGTGCTTTATCCCAAGTTTAGGATTCCATTCCTTATTTAGAGTCAGCAGTTCACATTTATGTGTCACATTTTTAGCTCTACTGGTCAGAGACCAGAAGAGCTTATGCGATAGTAATGCGTCCGGCGTCCGTCCGTCTGTCCGTCTGTCTGTCTGTAAACAATTTTTCAAAATGCTACTCCTCCTACGGTTTTGATCTGATTTCAATATAACTTGGCATATAAGTAGACTACACTAAGATACATAATTCTGTGTATCGGATTTTGATTTTGACGAACGGTGTTGGCGTTGTTACTAAGAATAGAAATTTCTGTGAAATTCTTTCAAAATGCTACTCCTCCAACAGTTTTGGTCTGATTTCAATATAACTTGGCACACAAGTAGACTACACTAAGATACATAATTCTGTATATCGGTTTTTGATTTCGACGAGCGGTATTAACGTTGTTACTAAAAATAGAAATTTCTGTGAAATTCTTTCAAAATGCTACTCCTCCTACAGTTTTGGTCTGATTTCAATATAACTTGGCACACAAGTAGACTACACTAAGATACATAATTCTATGTATCGGTTTTTGATTTCGACGAATGGTGTAGGCGTTGTTACTAAAAATAGAAATTTCTGTGAAATTCTTTCAAAATGCTACTCCTCCAACAGTTTTGGTCTGATTTCAATATAACTTGGCACACAAGTAGACTACACTAAGATACATAATTCAGTGTATCGGTTTTTGATTTCGACAAACGGTGTTAGCGTTGTTACTAAAAATAGAAATTTCTGTGAAATTCTTTCAAAATGCTACTCCTCCTACAGTTTTGGTCTGATTTCAATATAACTTGGCACACAAGTAGACTACACTAAGATACGTAATTCTGTATATCGGTTTTTGATTTCGACGAACGGTCTTGGCGTTGTTACTAAAAATAGAAATTTCTGTGAAATTCTTTCAAAATGCTACTCCTCCTACAGTTTTGGTCTGATTTCAATATAACTTGGCACACAAGTAGACTACACTAAGATACATAAGTCTATGTATCGGTTTTTGATTTCGACGAATGGTGTAGGCGTTGTTACTAAAAATAGAAATTTCTGTGAAATTCTTTCAAAATGCTACTCCTCCTACAGTTTTGGTCTGATTTCAATATAACTTGGCACACAAGTAGACTACACTAAGATACATAATTCAGTATATCGGTTTTTGATTTCGACAAACGGTGTTAGCGTTGTTACTAAAAATAGAAATTTCTGTGAAATTCTTTCAAAATGCTACTCCTCCTACAGTTTTGGTCTGATTTCAATATAACTTGGCACACAAGTAGACTACACTAAGATACGTAATTCTATATATCGGTTTTTGATTTTGACGAACGGTCTTGGCGTTGTTACTAAAAATAGAAATTTCTGTGAAATTCTTTCAAAATGCTACTCCTCCTACAGTTTTGGTCTGATTTCAATATAACTTGGCACACAAGTAGACTACACTAAGGTACATAATTCTTTATATCCGTTTTTGACTTCAATGAACATTATTACCTTGGTTAATAAAGATAGCAATTTCTGTTACTCTCAAAATGCTACTTCAAATACAGTTTTAGTCTGATTATAATATAATGTGGCATGCAAGTAGACTACACTAAGAACATAAAGAAACTTATTCAAGGATCATTATTCTCTTTTTTGCTAGTGTAAAGTTTCAATTCCCAACTGCTTAAGTACTTTCCTCTTCCTTTGCTATAAGTACAAACCAGTAGAGCTTCAGTCTCGACAGAGACTTCTGGTTTGTTTCTAGGCATTAATGTCTTGTAAATTATTTAAACTAATTATTATATTATTTTGGTCAATGTAGAATGTGGAGAAGCATATGAAGCTAGCCTCCTCCGGACGACGGATTAGTGGGCGGGGCCCCCTGGACTTACCCCTGAAGTATGTCCTACACAGCTCCCTCAAGTCCTGTATCTACAGAATCATTAATGTGTTCGGTGCTCATTTACTGTAAGTAATTATAGTACTCTGTTCAAAGGGTTAATGCATGAAAAAAAACTTTACCTCTGTTTTAAAAGCTGTTTCTCTTTGTTAGAAAAACTTTAAATAGCTCATTCTCTTTGTTCTACATATTTTGTTTCCATAATTTTATACATAAAAATTCAAAAAATAAGACAAAAGCAAGTGTGTATTATTGTGTTATTATTGTATTAATTAGCTTTAATAGAGAAAAAGTAATGTATTGAATACTTTTACTCTTTCAGAAATTTAGATTTACCCAGTGATACTTCATACAAACTGAAGCTGTTTATGGATTTCAAGGAGTGACTTTGTGATCAGAACTTGTTTAGTGAACAGGACCTGTTTGCTAGGTCTATACATAGACAGATGTGTATGGATTTCTACAATGGTGCTGAGATGAAGCGTGTTTATGTCGCTGACTCATCACGAACACCATGAACAAGTCTTCTGGACTATAAACACACCTAGACAATAATTGTTAATGTTAACTTGTAACAATGATATGACAAAATCTGTACATGTGGATTGCTTGAAAGATCATGGGGAAATCTTACATAAACATGATTTCAAAATTGTGTTGTTCTTTATCAAAAAAGAATGTACTTGGGATGTATAAATTCCGATACTTGTAAACTCAATTATATTATCATTTATATGCATTCCATAAGGTTGCATATATTTTTTGTCGCTAAGATCAATTGTGACACTGTAATCTGGGTTGAAAATACTTGCACTAAGCACAAGATAATCCGGGTTGATTTAAAATTAAAAAAAATTTCTACATAAGCACTATAATAATACTATTATGAAATTATGCCTTTTCAAGAAAAAAACTACATTCTAAGCCAAATTATTTATTCTTTATGAAAGGAGTATAGAATAGTTATAATTTTAGTTTTTTAGTAAATATTTACAATAACTCGATATATTTCCTTGAATTTTTATGAAAAACATTTCTCTTTAATATTCCATCAATTATTGAAACTTATTTGGAATTCCTTTTCAAAGCCATCAGTATGAAGCAAATTTAAACAGTGGGCTCCTCCATTAAGAAACGTATGTGGATCAGTTACACAATATTTTACTTCATACTATTGTGACACTACATGTAAACAGTATTATAGAATTGTAATTATCATATGTCTGTGTAAAGTAACAAGAAATGACCTTTAAGGCCCCTTCTCAGGAAATACAGGCCCCTTCGTGAAATGGTAAGGGTTTGTACAAAGTGCTTGAATTTTGACAAGTCCTTGAAAAAGTCATGTGAAAATTTAAAAAGTCATGTGAAATAAATTTTCATATTATTAAGTGCTTGAATTTGTTTTCTAGGGTTCCTGAATTCTTATGTTGTGCTGCTTTATCAGCAGGTTTAAGAATGAGTTGATTAATCTTTTTTCAGCAAAACTAATTAAAAATTATGCGCTCTAGAAAATGGGATGAATTTCACCTTTTGTCATTAATCTATAGCTCGGTGATCTGAAAACAATTTGGATGGATGATCAGTCTGTCAATATATTTTTGGGGAGGGCTACAGTTCTGCAGCTAGTCAAAATGTTACCGTCTCATTTATTCTCAAAAAAAAAATTCAACCGATATATTGTGTTTTTTATATTTGCTTCATTGTAGTGTCCAAGAGCTTAACAACAAGTACGTAGAAATAATCTGCCCGGGGTGAAAGAAAATATGATCAGGGAGAGGTCCCCACTTGTCCCATGTTTACACACCCCCTCTCCAATGAACAAAATCTGGATCCGCACCTAATTCTCTTGCATCTTACAAACTTAAATCTGCGACCTTTTCACTTCCTGGATATAAGGTTCTTATTGTTACTATACATGACTAATTCAATAGAGTAAAATTTAAAGTGCACACTTAAGATCGATGCTTTGCTTGATGGGCGAATATTTCCGTGAAGGAAAGAAATATCTTGTCCACTTAATAAGAGGGGGCTACCATACTACATGCTTCAAGTGTTCTTTTACCATTGGTTTTATTAAAACACCACTACTTGGTGTACACTTTTCAGCAGTAGTTGTGATATAAAGAAATGTTATAAATTGTGCCATTTTCAAATACATGGGGCTGACTGACTAACAAAGTTTTCAAATTATTGGATGACAGAAATGTACTACTAGTATATTAATCGTGGTTATGTGTAAATTAAGCTGTAATGTTTGAATTTATTAGGCGGAGTTTAAGGCTTCCTCGTAATTCCAGGGGCCCTGAGTCAACACATTGTCATAAACAGGTCCTGTCTGATGGGGGTCAATCTAAATATAAAGGTCCTGTGTGATGGGGAACAATCTAAATATAAAGGTTCTGTGTGATGGGGAACAATCTAAATACAAGGGTTCTGTGTGATGGGGAAACAATCTAAATATAAAGGTCCTGTGTGATGGGGAAACAATCTAAATATAAAGGTTCTGTGTGATGTAGAACAACCTAAATATAAAGGTTCTCTGTGATGTAGAACAATCTAAATATAAAAGTCCTGTGAGATGGGGAAACAATGTAAATATAAATGTCCTATGTGATGTAGAACAATCTAAATATAAAGGTCCTGTGTGATGTAGAACAATCTAAATATAAAGGTCCTGTGTGATGGAGAACAAACTAAATATAAACGTCCTGTGTGATGGAGAACAATCTAAATATAAAGGTCCTATGTGATGGGGAACAATCTAAATATAAAGGTCCTATGTGATGGAGAACAATCTAAATATAAAGGTCCTGTGTGATGGAGAACAAACTAAATATAAAGGTCTTGTGTGATGGAGAACAATCTAAATATAAAGGTCCTGTGTGATGAAAGGAACAATCTAAATATAAAGGTTCTGTGTAATGGGGAACAATCTAAATATAAAGGTCCTATGTGATGGAGAACAATCTAAATATAAAGGTCCTGTGTGATGTAGAACAATCTAAATATAAAGGTCCTGTGTGATGGGGGAACAATCTAAATATAAAGATCCTGTGTGATGGAGAACAATCTGAATATAAAGGTCATGTGTGATGGGGGAACAATCTAAATATTAAGGTCCTGTGTGATGGGGAACAATCTAAATATAAAGGTCCTGTGTGATGGAGAACAATCTAAATATAAAGGTCATGTGTGATGGGGGAACAATCTAAATACAAAAATCCTGTGTGATGGGGAACAATCTAAATATAAAGGTCCTGTGTGATGGGGGAACAATCTAAATATAAAGGTCCTGTGTGATGGTGAACAATCTAAATATAAAGGTCCTGTGTGATGGAGAACAATCTAAATATAAAGGTCCTGTGTGATGTAGAACAATCTAAATATAAAGGTCCTGTCTGATGGGAACAATCTAAATATAAAGGTCCTGTATGATGGAGAACAATCTAAATATAAAGGTCCTGTGTGATGTAGAACAATCTAAATATAAAGGTCCTGTGTGATGTGGGAACATTCTAAATATAAAGATCCTGTGTGATGGAGAACAATCTAAATATAAAGGTCCTATGTGATGGAGAACAATCTAAATATAAAGGTCCTATGTGATGGGGGAACAATCTAAATATAAAGGTCCTGTGTGATGGAGAACAATCTAAATATAAAGGTCCTGTGTGATGTAGAACAATCTAAATATAAAGGTCCTTTGTGATGGGGAACAATCTAAATATAAAGGTCCTGTGTGATGGAATACAATCTAAATATAAAGGTCCTGTGTGATGGGGGAACAATCTAAATATAAAGGTCCTGTGTGATGGAATACAATCTAAATATAAAGATCCTGTGTGATGGGGAACAATCTAAATATAAAGGTCCTGTGTGATGGGGAACAATCTAAATATAAAGGTCCTGTGTGATGGGGAACAATCTAAATATAAAGGTCCTGTTTGATGGAGAACAATCTAAATATAAAGGTCCTGTGTGATGGGGGAACAATCTAAATATAAAGGTCCTTTTGATGGGGAACAATCTAAATATAAAGGTCCTGTGTGATGGGGAACAATCTAAATATAAAGGTCCTGTGTGATGGGGAACAATCTAAATATAAAGGTCCTGTGTGATGGGGAACAATCTAAATATAAAGGTCCTGTGTGATGGAGAACAATCTAAATATAAAGGTCCTGTGTGATGTAGAACAATCTAAATATAAAGGTTCTGTGTGATGAAAGGAACAATCTAAATATAATGATCCTGTGTGATGGAGAACAATCTAAATATAAAGTTCATGTGTGATGGGGAACAATCTAAATATAAAGGTCCTGTGTGATGGAGAACAATCTAAATATAAAGGTCCTGTGTGATGGGGAACAATCTAAATATAAAGGTCCTGTGTGATGGAAAACAACCGAAATATAGGCCCTGTGTGATGGAATACAATCTAAATATAAAGGTCATATGTGATTGGGGAACGATCTGAATATAAAGGTCCTGTGTGATGGGGAACAATCTAAATATAAAGGTCCTGTGTGATGGGGAACAATCTAAATATAAAGATCCGGTGTGATGGAGAACAATCTAAATATAAAGGTCCTGTGTGATGGAGAACAACCTAAATATAAAGGTCCTGTGTGATGTAGAACAATCTAAATATAAAGGTCCTGTGTGATGGGGGAACATTCTAAATATAAAGATCCTGTGTGATGGAGAACAATCTAAATATAAAGGTCCTATGTGATGGAGAACAATCTAAATATAAAGGTCCTGTGTGATGTAGAACAATCTAAATATAAAGGTCCTGTGTGATGGGGGAACAATCTAAATATAAAGGTCCTGTGTGATGGAGAACAATCTAAATATAAAGGTCCTGTGTGATGTAGAACAATCTAAATATAAAGGTCCTGTGTGATGGGAGAACAATCTAAATATAAAGGTCCTGTGTGATGGAATACAATCTAAATATAAAGGTCCTGTGTGATGGGGAACAATCTAAATATAAAGGTCCTGTGTGATGGGGAACAATCTAAATATAAAGGTCCTGTGTGATGGGGAACAATCTAAATATAAAGGTCCTGTGTGATGGAGAACAATCTAAATATAAAGGTCCTGTGTGATGGGGGAACAATCTAAATATAAAGGTCCTGTGTGATGGAATACAATCTAAATATAAAGGTCCTGTGTGATGGGGAACAATCTAAATATAAAGGTCCTGTGTGATGGGGAACAATCTAAATATAAAGGTCCTGTGTGATGGGGAACAATCTAAATATAAAGGTCCTGTGTGATGGAGAACAATCTAAATATAAAGGTCCTGTGTGATGTAGAACAATCTAAATATAAAGGTTCTGTGTGATGAAAGGAACAATCTAAATATAATGATCCTGTGTGATGGAGAACAATCTAAATATAAAGTTCATGTGTGATGGGGAACAATCTAAATATAAAGGTCCTGTGTGATGGAGAACAATCTAAATATAAAGGTCCTGTGTGATGGGGAACAATCTAAATATAAAGGTCCTGTGTGATGGAAAACAACCGAAATATAGGCCCTGTGTGATGGAATACAATCTAAATATAAAGGTCATATGTGATGGGGGAACGATCTGAATATAAAGGTTCTGTGTGATGGGGAACAATCTAAATATAAAGGTCCTGTGTGATGGAGAACAATCTAAATATAAATTTACTGTGTGATGGAGAACAATCTAAATATAAAGATCCTGTGTGCTGGAGAACAATCTAAATATAAAGTT